TTTATTGGCTAATCACGATCACGAGAAAATTGAAACATATCACGTGATTGGCGATTATAGATTTCCGGAACCATATAACAAATAATAATTTAAGTTGTTTTTGAATAAAAGTTTGATAAAAGTTAATAGTGTTTGATTAACAAAATATTCGAATTTTGTTAAATAAAATTGTTTGATAAAAGTTAACAAAATATTTAAATTTTGTTAAAATAAAATTGTTCAAAAATTTGCATATTTCTAATAAGAAATATTTTTAACGTGTTATATTAAATTTCATTAGTAACCTAGGTGAGTCTTTGACCACTCTAGTAGGTTTAGGTCGCAGATAAATTTTTTCCTGTCTGAGTTTTTATTCTTGCATATAATTTTTATTTTTATTTGTACTAGTACAAATAGTAGCTACTCTGTAAATCTCTATATTGTTTTAGTAATCTACATTGTTGCTATTTCAAAAAATTATTAATAAAGATACGAGCAAGGCCTCACCTTAATATCAAAAAAAAAAATTAAATTTCATTAGTACAACTATTTGTTATTTAAATAAAACAAATAGTTGTTGCAGTGCCTATACTGTCACTATAATCCATTAGTAGATTGAGCAGTTCACAGGCAGGATTTGAATGTATGACCCTACAATGGCTACACGATATCACCACTTTATTACAATAAGTAATTGTCTAATTTTCAAATTTTTCCTGTTTAAGATAGTTCCAACTTCTTGTAAAGTGTCCAATTAGAGCATAAAATTTCATGTGATTAAGTAGATACAATGCAGGGGTTAGGTATAATATTGATTGTTAAGTTTGGTAAAGTTTGTAAAATATCGAGATAATCCAACATCTACATCAACAACAATATCTTCTTTATTTTTTTCGGCGCATTTTTCACACACTAATCGAACACCTCTTGACGGCCACAACTTACGCTTTACAAGTATTTGTTTTATTCCTTTTGGCTTTCCCCGTAGGTTTTCCACTTCATAATCATTCGGAAATACCATTGACTGTATAATTCTCTCTTCATCTTCGTTAATATACCAGCCATCACGCAATTTAGGTTGTAACCCTCCAGGACTGAGATTTATTCTCGTTGCGACTAATGCGTTTTCTGCCATTGCATTATGATTTGTTGATTGGTCAAAACAGAAAACTCCAATGCAGCCAGAATGAAGCACCTCAAATATTGGAATGGCTTGTTGTATTAGCTGTTCCAACATGTGTTCTGACTTCCAATAACCGTCGGCCTGTGTGGAACGAAGAATAAATGCTTCTTGGTATTTAATATGTGGATTCGCCTTCATCTGCTCATCAGACAGTTTTAATAATCCGTGACAAGGACAGAGAAAGGCTGAAACCATTATGGAACGACCCTCCCCCTTTAGACGTAAAAGATCTTCATTTTTTCCAATCCATATTCTCTTTTGACTGTCAATCGTGTAAAAATGGCATTCATCGTGTGTTATCTATAGTACGTATTTATTATCATTATAATTAGTATCTATAATAATCATATAAACTAAAGGGGATATTATTGTAAAGATGAAAATCGTGAATAATTATGATTATTATATAATTTTGTAGTACCGTACGGCGTGGACTAAAAAACCTCTTTTATAATACTCTCAGGCCCTGAATGTATTGTACTCAGGTACTAAGATGGATGAATTGAAAATAATAGTACTTGGGAATGTTAGTAAAATACCTGGATACCTTTATAATAACTATAGTATCCCTCCAACTATAGTACTCATATATACTGCTTAAATTGTAAGAATATACCCTAAATATTTTAGTCCATGCTGCATATAATCAATATAGTTACATATTATAAATTAATATTTGATTATTATTACCTGTACTAACTCTTTTTCATCGGGTTCAAGCTCAGGTTCTATCACGATTTCTAATCTATCACCGTCAAAACTTTTCATGTATTTCTTATAGGTAAATATTCTATTAAGCCATTCTCTTCTATAAATTATCACGTCTGCTCTTTCATGCCCATTGTAATAAACACCTTTTCTTTTTTCATCATATCTAAACCCCATAAATGCATATAGGTTCGATATGTTTTTTCAGAAATGGTATTTTTTTTAATTTGTTCTGCCATTTGGAGAAATACCGTCCTTTCAATATACATCTTTAAAGCACCAGGAGAACACGACTCAGGCTTTTGATTATGCAACCAAGCTCAACAATCATCAGAAAAATCTTTATTTTTAATTAGACTTTTTAACTTAGCATGTTTCCCTTGATGATCAACAAGAAGTTCGCCTATTTCTACAGGGTTAGTTATAAAGTAATAAAAGAATTTTAATATTTAATAAATTTTTCGTATATTGACTTGTATGCCACTTACCTATATAATGATTTCCCCATTTTCTAATGCGTTTTGCCATACTGTCTCCTTTACCCCAAATAGTTTGTGCAAGATGAATGCTTGCATTCATCTTGCCTTGCCCATCCAGCAATAATTTTATGTATCTACTTATGCTTAGAAGGCGCAAATGATTATATATAGGTATGTTAATTTTTGAGGATTTTATTATTGCACATTTTTGATTAATTTCATTTAACCGCATTTCTAATTTTTTTTATTAATAGATAGTGAATTATGTGTAGCCGTTTGAGAGGATTTTGGTTCCGTAATTTCAATAGACGATCTTGATGATGATGATCGTAATACTAATGATAAAGCGTTGGCTAACAATGTTGCTGAAGGTGGTTGTGATAATTGTAGTCGTTTTATAATATCAACAGCTGGAAACAGGTGTGACGAATTAGGTGATTCTTTCATACTTAATGATGTATCAGCTTTTTGTTTTTTCTCCAGGCTGTTGTTCTTGACATTCCAGTATATGAAGATCTCTTACGCTTTAATTCAGCAGTCTCTTTTTGCATTATAGGAGTTTCCCGTATTACTTCATCTTTCATTACTTCCATTAGTGATATTTCATCGTCCATCATTTCTACTTCTTGCACCATTCCTTGCGGTGTATAACGACCTTGTTTTCTGGACAATGCACTTATTTGCTGTTTTCTTTTATTAGAACGTGGCATTTTATGATAATAGTTAATGAACGATTTTAATAGTAATTAATGCTATAATAATCTTTTTTATTTAGATGGTCGTTTGAATCTCATTTTATATTTTCCTCTGAAAATCCAAGTTAACTATAAGTAGATCGTGAAGAAAACAATTATAACAAAAGACAAACAAAAAAGAAGCCCGAAAAGCTTATTAATTTACTATGTAGCTATTCACCCATAATCTTTTTAGGAATAATTTAGAATGCTGACTTGAATATTTTGTACATTGTGAATTTCACGCAAAAATTACATATGATACAATTGCGAAATGATTTAGATCATGATCTAAATCATTTCACGAATGTATGTAATGTTCTTTTAGTGCACACTTATAAGAATAATTAAAAAAATTTTGAGACATAACATTAGGATCCGGCGACAATTGAAGGGCGTGCAGACAATTATATATATATTAGCCATAATGAGATTAGATTGGGGCTTTAGAAACATAACAAAGGTAGTGATAACATTTGCATTTTGTGTTTGGGTTTGGTTTACAGAACCCATTAGGTTCAATATGGTCAACCCGATAATGTAAACTTTCTTTTATTTTTAATTTGATTTATATGTGACATCGTCTTACCATATTATTGTTTTTTCTATTATGCATAAATAATCGAGGGAGCTGATATTAGACAGCTAACACTCATCAAAATAAATATGTATAATTATACTGGCAAAACGATTTTTTATTACATTTGAATTATCTTCATAAGATAGAGTTTTGAGGATAATTTTTTAAATTTAAAATCTACGTAGGTTACTACGTAACGTTATGAGTATTCGGGCCAAATTTTTTAAATTGAAATATCGATGTTCAATCGATTTTAATAATTAAGACAAACATAGATTCTTGAAAATTTTGAACGAAAATTACTCAAGAATATGGTCCAATAAATTATCAAAAATCCCCAAATACTCATAACGTTATGCAGTGACCCAGGTGTGATTATATTTGATATTTTAAGATAAAATCAACTTTGATTAAATTATGTAACGTTTTATGCGACAAAACTATGAGTAGCGACTTAATTGTGATGAAAATTCTCGAATACTCATAATAAAAGTTGATCCGTTTATCTTGTTGATCTGTTTATCTCGTTTAATAAAATTTGAATTTTGTCAATAAACTCTTTATTCTCTCAATATAGTGACTTTCGATATAATG